ACAGGAAAAAGAACTACACGCTCTGTACCTAAGGAAAGCAAACCTCTGAGAATGCTCAAAATGTATACATCATCTTAAATTTTTTTTTTTCAACGTTTATTTATTTTTGGGACAGAGAGAGACAGAGCATGAACGGGGGAGGGGCAGAGTGAGAGGGAGACACAGAATCGGAAACAGGCTCCAGGCTCTGAGCCATCAGCCCAGAGCCCGACGCGGGGCTCGAACTCACGGACCGCAAGATCGTGACCTGGCTGAAGTCGGACGCTTAACCGACTGCGCCACCCAGGCGCCCCTCAAAATGTATACATCATCTTAAAGGTCACTTAAAATATCTTTTGAGTAGTAGTGCTTGTGTTTTTAAAAACTGTTTTTGTAACTCAGAAATTCCATCAGTAATATTGCGCAACTAACCCATGGTGGGGCCTTAAAAAATATTCACAGATGCACTTGCAGGGTCCTGATATTTAACATGTTTATTGATCTTGAGGTGCTTTTAGAATCACTTCTTAAAAGTGTCTGCGTTTAATGCTAAGTGGATTAAAGCAATTTAATTCCTGGAGAATTGGTAATACAATTACATATGTGGGTAGAAATACGCTCTTACTAAGAATATTTGAGCCAACAGAATGCCTCTCCCCAGAATCCTCTGGGAAACTGAGAATTTACTGTATTTTAATAATAGAACTCCTTTGGATTTGTAGAGTATCTTCAAGGACTCAAGGCCTTTTTCTGTTGACTGCTGCATAGTAAGTTCTGTTTTTATGGAAGCATTTCTAAATTATTTTGATGGTATTGACGATCTCTCACCTTCAGGGGTGGTACCAATGATAACATACCAAAGAGAATATAGTCCTGTCCTTGGGGGTTTGCCATTTCAAAATGTATTCACACCCATATCCTTAAATGCTGCTGGACTTCAAATGTTGTTAAACATACCTGCTTCTGTAGAAATAAAAATGTTGAACGAATCCAACTATGAAAAGCTTTAGGGAACGGATACCTGAGAATCAGATGCAGGAAAATCACCATTTGTCCCTTCTGCAATTTTAAATGGGCCATGTTTGAACATGTGGTTTGGAACTTCCCGCTGGTCCTAGAAGCTAGTGTCGAGTGACAGTGGGACTGGCAGGGCGCTGGGGTGCCGTGAGGTCACAGTGACCGTCAGCCCTCACTTCCATGCTCTTCTGATCCTGCTGACCACCAGGGAAGGCACGGGGCCCACCATCTGGAGCTTCGTCCAGGCTTGGTCACCCCTTCTGTTTGCAGTGATTCAGCGCAAATCCGTGGTTCCTACTCGGGGCTGTCCTGGCCTCCAGATTAGGACAGATTACAGAGGGACTAGGGTCTCCTTCCAGAAAGCTGGTCTCCTCCTTCTAAATGTGGCCCTGAAATATTCTCAAGCCTAGATTTTTTTTAAGTGTCTAATTTTTCCAGAGAAGTTCAATAGGTTTTTAAAGAATTAACTCCACAGATCTGAGGGTTAATCTTTATCCCGGAACTGATTTGAAATTAAAAAATGAAAGGAGTGTCCCTCATCGTATACTTTTTTATTATTTGTTTTTTGAATCTATTTTATTAAACTACTTGCTTTAATTTGAATGATTCGGAACCCAGTTACCTAAATTTTAATTGTAGTTGATGATAATAGCAAGTTTTGTGATGTCAAGTGAAGCGGGATAGAGCCCCACGTCGGTGCAGAGCCTGCTTGGGATTCTCTCTCTGCCCCTCCCCTGCTCGCAATCTCTCTCTCTCTTTCTCTCTCAAAATAAAAAAATAAATAAATAAAATAAAAATAAATAAATATTTTTTAAAAAGAGAAAAGAATACTCAGTGATTTTTAAAAATCATGTGAAATTATGCCATGTACATTTTTAAACGTCAAAATCTCCCGTTTTTTTTATTAGTAAAAATGAATTTGTTTTTTTATTAGCAAAACTGAATTAGTCAAATGGATGATTTCTAAGATTCCTTCCAGTTCCAAGTCTTATTATTTTAAATTTGGAACCTTAACAATGTATCATTTTATTCATCCAATAATAAAACACCTAAGAATGATTTCCACACTGCTTTCCCCTCCTTACACTACTACGATGAAAATGTAACATATAATTTCTCATGTGTCTGATTAGCAAGGTCCGCTTTAACATCCTTTATCAAGGGTCTGCTTCTTTTTGTCAGCCAAGACCACTCCTGGAGAAGAGGTCCAGAACATTACCTTGTTTTGTGAATAGTGGTAATGTGAAGAGTCCTTTATATTTCTCTTTGTCCCTCCGAAGAATGAGTTCTAATACTTGACCTGTGTTTTACGTAGGGTTCGGTGGTAAAGATAAAAATTGGATGCCTCACAATAGAGAGACAACATAAATTTAAAAGCACAGGCCCAGGCACACAATCTATGACGTCTTCAGTGTCCACAGACCATTCTTCTGTACGTTCTCCCAAACTTCTATCCAAGGCCCTGTGTTGCTTCATCAAGAAAGCCACTTGCGGAATAAATGTGCCTAGATTGAATAATACATCTATGGTTTGGAGAGCTGCTCTGCTCGGCCTCTAAGGCTGATGAACAGCAGCTCTCCATGGTGCATAAGGAAGTAAACTGGTGCTGGCCCAAGAAGAAAATGATGTTACTTAAAACTCTACCGTCTCTAAAATTTCTGGTGTGATGAAAATGTCATAGATACTGATTGTGGCAGTGGTGGTTACCCTGGTGTATGCCTTTGTCAAAACACCTTAACTGCACATTTAAAATGGGTGCTTTTCAGCACTTTCGACGATAGCCAAATGACAGACAGAGCCTCAATGTCCATCAACTGACGAATGGATAAAGCAATTGTGGTTTATATACACAATGGAATATTATGTGGCAATGAGAAAGAATGAAATCTGGCCCTTTGTAGCCACATGGATGGAACTGGAGAGTGTGATGCTAAGTGAAATAAGTCAGACAGAGAAAGACAGATACCATATGTTTTCACTCATGTGTGCACCCTGAGAAACTTAACAGAAGACCATGGGGAGGGGAAGGAGAAAAAGAAAAAAGGTTAGAGAGGGAGGGAGCCAAACCATAAGAGACTCTTAAAAAGTGAGAACAAACTGAGGGTTGATGGGGGGGGGGGGGGTGGGGGGGGTGATGGGCATTGAGGAGGCACCTGTTGGGATGAGCACTGGGTGTTGTATGGAAACCCAGGTGACAATAAATTTCATATTAAAAAAAATATATAAAATGGGTGCTTTTCATCAAATGTAAATGATACATTTTCTTAAGTCAACTTTTTTTCAAACAAACTGATTCAAGAAAAGGAAGAAATCGCCTTTGTAGATAACCAGACAAAAATGGAAGTCAGAGGACCTGAGTTTTTGTCTCCGGAATAAACCGTGTTACTTAAGGGAAGTCTTGAAATATCTTTGTTTCTATTTTCTCTAATGGGAAAGGGAAGTTAAATTGCTTCTCCTCTTAGTTCCCACCCTGCAGTAAGATAAAGCAGCATGCGAAAAGTGACTCTTGATCCTTTGAGTCCTGGTTGCTTCCAGAAGCAGGCAAAAGCTGCAATTTTCTTTCCTAGAAAAATGCACACACACAAACTGCACACCGTTTCAGGGGCTTCACGGCCTCCCCTTTCCCCAAGCTCATCCGTGGAACCTCAGTGAAGAGCACTTACTTCAGTTCTATTTATTTATTTTTAAAGTTTTTACTTATTTATTTTTTAGAGAGAGAGAGAGCGTGCAAGGGGGAGAGGGAGAGAGAGAATCCCAAGCAGGTTCCACACTGTCGGCACGTAGCCCAACGTGGGGCTTGATCTCATGAACCGTGGGATCATGACCTGAGCTGAAATCCAGAGTCAGACGCTTCGCCATCTGAGCCACCAGGCGCTTTAGTTTTTCAAGTGAACTCAAAGTAGGTAAGAGTCAAGGAGAAAAAGCAGTATTGTTTCTAGTGCCTACCTATGTGCGCTAAGCACTGGAAATACAGTGCCGCACAGAGAAAGCAATCCTTGCCCTAGAGGACTTCCTGATGGTCGAAATGTAGATACTCGGCCACAGGTAAAGCTTACGCTCTTGGTGATGCCGAACACCATTTGTTCAAGTGCGAAGTACCACGCTAGCTCTATTGTTGCCGGTTCACACTTTATCTGGGAATTCATCACTTGAAGACTTTGTGCCGCCCAAGTGCTTCTAAGACCCTGGGGTTATAATCGCAGGGGCCTCTTTGCAGTTCTCGGAATCTCCTTCTCCCCACTTCGGCCTCAGCGTTCCTGTCTAGACGAGTAGTTCATGTGTAAGAAACAGCGCACTCAGTCCACCTGGCTTAGAATTATCCATGCCTTCTTTTGTATTGCCGTGCCACACCTCCTGAGGTACAGAGATACTAATATAGTAGCTAGATGCTTCAGAGTTCTGGATCTTCTGGGGCCTCACATCATCATGGGGCCATTGAAGTGGCTCAGATTTGCACACTTGCTTCTGGCTTATTGCAGACAAAGCCTGCAAGGAAGAAAGAATCTGTCTGCAATTGTTGCCTGAGTCTGCCCTTTCCTTTACTTCCCTTCCCTTCCCCTCCTCTCCTTTCCTTTCCCTTCCTTTCCTTTCCATTGTCTACACATAGAGAGTTGCTTAGTGACCTTGGTCACTCTCTAGTGACCTGTTGCTGTTGGCCATCATGGCGGGGCCACCACCAAGATTCTAGATCCTGCCTCGAAGAGGGGCTTCCATCAGGCCTTCGCTCAAGAACCCACACCAGGTGCCCCAGAGCCGCTCTACATGGCCTCAGTGATTAAATGTTTTTATTTCTTACTAAGCAGAAATATATTTTCCTTCCTTCTGAACTGGGAATGGGCAGGCCACTAGCCTGCTGTTCCCTCTCAGTAGGAACTTTTTTTCCAAGTAAGCTCAGCACGTGATGATGCCAAGCTGTGTGACATACCTGGAGTCCACCTTTGCCCTGTGATCAATGGTAATTCAACTGGTGGCTCTCCTAATTGATTTCTCCCCTCCTCTCACAGAACCATGATGGCAGCATTGACTTCCGAGAGTATGTGATTGGCCTGGCTGTCCTGTGTAACCCTGCCAACACGGAGGACATCATCCAAATGGCATTTAAGGTACTGTCAGCCCCGCTGAAAACATCTTCGTCTGCCTCGTGAACAAGTGTTGACTCTAAGTGCATTATGTGAAAACCAGTGAATCCATTACCTGAGTTTATAGATCTGCTGGGACGTGTACACAGGGGTAATGTGATTAAGACAATTGCCACTGAGACTAAAGAAACCACAAGCATCCGGTTAAGCAAAAAGGAAGTCTTTGGGAGAAGCTTAACTAAAAGCATCAAAATTGAAGAGCCGGTGAATTTAACAAATTCGCTTTAAAAATTCTTTCTTTCCAGCCTGTCCGTTTTGGAGCCCCGAAGTGCGGTGTATAAATAAACACCACCTGCCACTAGTCATCCTAATTCACCATCCGGAAAGTTCTCCTCTGTCCTCACATTTTCTCCTTCTGTGTGTCAGAGCTATTTTAAGTGCTGTTTTCCTGATGGAATTTATTTTATTGTGGGATGTCAGGTGAGCGTCATGCTAAATGTCCCAAGTTCCCCGCCCTGTGTGTTTTCCTGGGGTATCACGTGTACTTTCACAGCGATATGAGGGAAGGGGGGCGGGGCAGAGGAATAGCACGCATGGTCCCGTGCTCAGCAGAACCCGGTGGAGGTTTGAGCTGTGACGACCCCGACTCCCGTGTATCACCTGCATGCCCCCAAGAGGAGCTGGAAGAATACGTTCCCAAAGTGTTTTTCGTTTTTCTGAGATAAAAGGTGCTGCATCTACTGCGTATTTATGCAGGATGTTCCCTACCCGTTCTAAGGCTGTGTTGTCTGCTCTCAAGTAAAACAAAAACTTGATCTCCCTGCTTGCCTTGGTACCTAGCTGTGGGTATTGACTCATCCTTCAGCCGCGTGGAGGTCTCCCTGTTTCCACCCACCATGACCACCGAGGACCTTCCCTGTTCCTGCTCCTACTTCCCTCTCTTCCGGGTTTTCTGAGAAGAGCATCCCAAAAGGTTTTCTTTCCCCTCTATTGTCTAGAAAAGACTCTCTTCCTCCGAGAGTCCTTTCTCACGTTTTAGGGGCCACCAGGGCAAGCCTCAGGAATGTTCACGTGCTCTGTCATCGACGGCGAAGTCCCCAAGCCGGCTTTTTATCTCAGATTGGTTAAAACGGAGTTAACTGTTAGGCCTATAAAGAACCCAAGTGGTTGATGCTTAGCAGATGGTCAGAAGGCAAGGGCCAGAACTTTTTCCAACTTTAAAACGTTTGGCTTTTACAGACTTATTCATCATAAAACCTAAAATTATACACATAGCTAACTGATTCCAATTCAGATATTTCTGTTTCTGTTTTGGGACTGCATACATAATTGTAAGTTTAGCTGAGTAAATGGTCACTTTTGGTTCACCGATGAAAGACCCGGTAGAAAATTTGGCCCTCAATCACAGTAATTATTGTTTTTAAAGACGCCGTGAGATTTTTCTCTGGCCTAGACCTCGGTTTGGTACAGAGGCAGGCAAGGAGGACCTGAAACTATAATTAACTCTTTTTCCAGTAAGACAAGGGTCATGCTTTCCTGTGGTTATTTTTCAACCTCCTTTTCCAGGTGTGTTTGGTGTTTAAAGAAATATTTTGGCATACTTTTATGTTTCATTTAGTAGTATCCGTTTATACGTACGGGATCCAATCCTTTACTTGGGAAGCACTTCCCAGGTAACTCCCCGTCCTTGATCCCATTCCGTGACCACAGTGACCTTCAGGGGTAGAGTGTTAGCTAGCGTTCTCTAGCCCTGAGCAGACAGGCGTGGACTGTGGCTGCAAAAATCACCATATGGCCGGGGAGGGGGCTCAAGGGTGGTCTCAGAGGCAGCGACCCCAGAGGCCAGTTAGAATGAGCACCTCCAATTCTGTCCTCTGTCCTCAGTCGCGTTCCAGGGAGGGTCCAACTGGTCCTGCTGTAAAGAGCGTGTGCTTGCTGGAAAGACGGGGCATTTTGGCTCAGAGTCCCACCGTAGTCCATGCAGTGGGGAGATACCACTCCCCCTAAGGAAATCAGGGTGCTGAGCTCTCTACTGGAGTCCAGAGTGTGGGATTTACTCTGCAGCAGGGAGACTACTGGGAGCGATGAGTAGTTGAGGGAAATTGAACATTTCAGTGAGGGGCACAATCTGGAGTAGTGATGACAGAGGCCAGATGGAGAAGAAGTAAAGGCCCCCAGTACGGACACGTGAAGGGAACTGCCACAGAAGTGAGAGCCACCGAAGCACCAAATGTGACAGATGAGTTGCCGAGGATTGTTTAGGGATGGAAGGCCCGGGAAGGAAGCTGCGCTCCCGCTTGTGAGGAGCCGGGTGTGACGAGATCCTTGGCAGTTACTGCTGAGCCCGGGGCCACCCTTTGCAAAAACAAATGCTCATTCGCTTTTCACTTTGGTGCTGTTCTCCCTCCTACTGGGGCTGAGTCGCATGCTCTTCATTTCCGGTTCTCCAGCTCTCTGGCAGCTTCTTCCAAAGTACTTCCCCTCGTGCTGTCCCAGGGCTTTGCCTTACTGTGTGCGTTCCCTGCAGATAAGCTCCGACACACCCCTCGTCTCAGCTCTTTGCCGAATTCCCGGCTCAGGCCTCGCCACTGTCCTGAGCTGAGGCGCTTCATCTCCTCCCACTCAGGTTTTACGCCCCCAGGTCCAGCTCCTAGGTCTCGGGGGACCCCTGTTCTCCCGTTCTTGGTAGGGCACCCACTTCATCCCAGGTGCCCAGGCTAGAACACCCCCCGCCCACTCACACTCCTTCCCGTCCATCCCCGCGGGCCCCGATTGCCATGCCAGTCCTGCCCCTGCTTTCTTATAAATCCTGCCCCTTCCTGTCCTTCCCACTCCTCCCCCTCACACTCTTTTTTTTTTTTTTAAGTTTATTTATTTATTTTGAGAGAGAGAGCATGCGAGCATAAGTAGGGGAGGGGCAGAGAAAGAAGGAGAGAAAGAGAATCCCAAGCAGGCTCTGTGCTGTCCGTGCAGAGCCTGAGGCAAGGCTCCATCTCACGAACTGGGAGATCACGACCTGAGCCGAAATCGAGGGTCCGAGGCTTAACTGACCGACCGAGCCGCCCAGGCCCCCCTCCACGCCACACTTAATTGGCTCTCCCGCCTCTAGTCTTTCCAACCTTCTGACCCCAATCCATCCTCCTTGCTCTGAATTCACATATGATCACAGCACGTCCCCCCACTGTCATAATCCCACAGGGTTAGGTGAGGTGTCACACACCCATCATGGCGTGAGTCCTGCTTGTCCGTCAGTCTCCTGGTTCCAGCCCCCGACACTCACCTGCCAGTCCTTGTATGTTCCAGGAATATCCCTTTGTGCTCTGAGACCCACCTCACGTGTCACCTGGGTCAAGCTTCCCCTGACCTCTCCCGTAGGATTCATCTTGTTCTCCACAGGCCTCCCACGTCCTCTGTACTTACTGTTGTTGTCACCCCTGTTTTAATTCTGTCTCTTTCCATGCCCAAGCTACATGGGCAGCAGAGACCATTCTAACTTCACGTGCATCTCCCTTGCCCCTGGCACAATAACGGTTTGAATTATTAAAGATTTTCTGGGATTACGCCATCCCATTTCTGTTCGGCCGGCACTCATTCCTATATTTTATTTTCCTCTTCCTTCAGCTCTTTGATGTTGATGAAGACGGCTTCATCACAGAGGAAGAGTTTTCCACCATTTTGCAGGCCTCCCTTGGGGTGCCCGACCTGGATGTTTCCGGTCTCTTCAAGGAAATAGCCCAGGGGGATTCTGTTTCGTATGGTGAGTGGGCAGCTTGGTTTCTGCTTTAGTTTACCAGGAGCCATCCCTGACTACAGATGGACCCTCGGGCGGGAGGTCCCTCCACTAATTCTATTAACAGAAATAACGGTAATAATGATGTTGACAGTAATAATAACAGGGGTAGTGGTGTAAGAGTAGCTAATTACTGAGGGCTTAGATGCTAAAGCACTCTTCTAAACATTTTTAATAAGTCTTTATTTATTAGCAGGCCTATTTAGTCAGTACTCTTATTTTTTATTTTTTTATTTTTTTTAATGTTTATTTATTATTGAGAGAGACAGAGCATGAGCAGGGGACGGGCAGAGAGAGAGGAAGACACAGACTCCGAAGCAGGCTCCAGGCTGTGAGCCATCAGCACGGAGCCCGACGCGGGGCTCGAACTCACAGACCGCGAGATCATGACCCGAGCCGAAGTCAGACGTTCAACCGACTGAGCCACCCAGGCGCCCCTAATCAGTACTCTTAATTATTATTTGATTGCGATACATAACATTTAACTAAGTTACCTAAGGGCATCAGCTAGAGAATGTCAGAGCCAGGAATCAAAAGCCGCGACAGTCCGGTTTTAGAGCCTGCCCTCTGCCCTCCCCACCTTACCTGTCATCCGCTGCCCCTCCCGGAAGGGTCTTTTCCCTTCCACCGTCGCCGTGGCTGAGCCAAACTGAGCAAGTCAACTGAAGTGGGTGTAACCACAGTAGAGCAGTGGGGACTGAGGTGCCAACAAGGATAATAGCAGCTAAACCATCTATTGATGTTCACCGTCAGCAGCTTAGCTAAGCTTTCACACAGGCTTGTTTTCTCCCATCATGTTGATGGCACCGCTGTGAAGCTGGGACTTTCACGGCAGAAGAAGACCCTGTGGCCACACGGCAGGTCCATCCATCAGTGACCAAGCTTTCTCCAGATGGCTTGAGTCCACACATCAAAACAAGTCCCCTAGGGCTGAAGGATGGTCCGTCGGTTTCCGCCGTTATTTCCTGGTACAGTTGTTGAGAAACATCTGAGTGGAGAAGCCCAGGTGACTCCTTCCCTGGCTTGGCTCAGCTGTGCCATTCACGTCAGGCTGGCGTACCTCCCCCAGCCTCTCCTGCAGGCTGCAGGGGGATTCCTCCTGAGGGCCTCTTTCCTTATGGTGCAGAGTTTCAGCTTGTTAACTTTCATGGGATGGGGGAATTAGATCGCAAACTTCTTTTACTCTCTGTTTTTAATTACTATCATTCTGCCTGCCCTTCATTCTATGTTAGGTAATTAAATGCCTAGGGCACTTACTCTATTGAGAGGAAGGAAGGAAGGAAGGAAGGAAGGAAGGAAGGAAGGAAGGAAAGAAGGGAGGAAGGGAGGGAGGGAGGGAGGGAAGGTGGAAAAATGGGAAGTACATACTGAGATAAAATGTATGAGTCATAAACCCCCTGGGTACTAATTCTCTGACCATTTCCTTTCACAAGTAAGACTGCTTACTGAGTTCAGAACAACTCAGAACAACTATTTGGTTGCCAAATTCAGAACTACTATTTGGAGTAACTATTTCAGTGGCAGTTATACCAAAAATGATTTGTTAGGTAGTCATAACTTTGCCTGTCAATTTTAATAATTTTATCTGCTTTGTTTTTCGGTGTTTGGTCTTTTTCTTTTTTAGAATACACACCGTATCTCCCTTTCCCCGATATTATACCTGTTTCCTTTTTTTTGCAAAAATGTTTGGAAGCATTTAAGTATGATTTTATAAAAGAATAGCTATTGAAATGTATCAGAATGTGACCATTTAAATTATTTTCCTTCTCGGTTTTCCATTAGCCAAATTAATGCCCAAATTCCACGGATTAGCCAGTTCACAGTACTTCTTCTAGAAATGAGTTGCTTTTTAATGCCACTGACATCCCCAAAGAGGACAGAGACCTTGACTTTTTGAATAGAGCACAAGTCTTGAAAGACCTTGATTTCAGTAGATCAACTCTCCTGTTTACTTTCCGTAAAAGTCACTTAAGTCCCCTGTGCCTTCAACACTGAGACAGACTCCTGCAGATGAACCTTTATTTTGGATGTTAAAAGAGAACATTCAAAGAACATGTTAATAGCTTGCCTGATTCAGAAACATAAAGTGGTCTATTAGTGCAAAATAATGTTGCTGTTGCAAAGCATGATTTGGGCTCAGTCTGGTAGCTTTCTCATCACTGAGACCTATTTCTTTCTCCAGGAGTTGCGTGTTAGTCTAACATGCTGTGAAATAGACTCTGGGTTATCAGAGGATTTTTAAAAAAGAAATAGAACTAGAACATGGGGTTAAAAATCCTTTTATTTGGATAGCTAGCTGATTCAAAGTCTAGGCTCCTTTTGCTGTGTAAACTCAATAAAGTTCTCTCCATCCAAACAGAAGAGGATAGAGGGGCTTCAGAATTGAGGGTGGCATTATACTTCAGAAACATCAGGTTATCGGAGGCTTGACATGCAAACTCTGATGGTTAACTTAGTTAGCCTTCTAAACCTCTACCTCAGTTCGTAAATCCAAGACCCCAAAGATAGAAAGAGGCCCACGACTCAGAGATCTCATGATAGGATGATTATATATTGTACCTTCTACTTGTCTTTATTGATCATAAGTCGGGGCTCAGCTTCTCAAGACTGTGAATTTGTATACCAGAATTGAAGGTTAAAATCGTTTGGAAAGCCAGTAAGAAAAAGTCATGAGCAATAGCATTTTTAAGCATTTTTTTATTATAAAAAATAACAGCAATAGAGAATGAAAACATAAACATAGAGCATCACAAGCTTTTGTAAAGTGAACACTTATGTTACCAATGTTCAGGTCAAGAAATAGAGCTTTTCGGGGAGCCTGGGTGACTCAGTCAGCTGAGAGTCTTATTTTTGGCTCAGGTGACGATCTCACACAGTTCAGGTGTTCAAGCACCGCATGGGGCTCTGCGCTGTCAGTTGGGGAATCTCTCTCTCCCTGTCTCTCTGCCCCTCCTCCCTTCTCTCTCTCTCTCTGAAAATAAATAAGTAAACTTAAAAAAAGAAAAAGAAATAGAGCTTTTCAGGAAACCCTTGTGCACCCCTTCCCAGGGACAACCCCTTTCTCTCTCCTAAAGCGGGCATGACGGACCTGACTTTAAAAGTCCAACATGGGGTTTGTTCTCACGAACCATGAGATCATGACCTGAGCCAAAATCACGAGTGAGACGCTCAACGGACTGAGCCACCCACGTGTGCCTAGCGAACCTGACGTTCAAAGGACTCTCTACCTCGCTTTACTTGTTAGCATCTCACCACAAAGTACCATCGTTAAATATCATGTGTTAGCTTTGGCCGAGTTTTTGAACTTCATATAATGGACTCATACGAATATGCATTCTTGTGTATCTGGCTGTTTTCATTCAACGTTATGGCTTTAAGATCCGACCACATGACTACAACACAGCTGTTTGTTCATCTTCTCTGCCGTAGAGCTGCTCTGTTCCATGAAAATGCTACGCATCCCCATGTCTGCTGCCGACAGACTCGGGTCGTTGGCACTGTCACCCGTCATAACTAAGGTCGCTGTGAACAGTCTTATTCATGTCTCCCAGAACAAACACACCATGCACAAATTTCTCTAGGTTATAGACTTCGGAAGAGAATCGACAGGTCACGACGTATGTACATCCTCGACTCTACTAAATGATGGAAAAACTGTCTTCCAAAGTGGCTGTATGATTCCTAAGAGTCGAGTAATGGGAGTTTGCAATGATCCTATCGTTAAGGTCCTATATTAATCGGCATCGTGCCAAAAGAAGACGCGTCTCTATTTACGGGGTTTTTTTTTTTTTTTTTCTCTCTTCTAGAGGAATTTAAAAGTTTTGCCCTAAAGCATCCACAATATGCGAAGATATTTACAACCTACTTAGACCTCCAGACGTGCCATGTGTTTTCATTACCAAAAGAAGCCCAGGCAGCTCCCTTGATCGCCAGCAATAAAGTCAGTCCCGAAAATCACAACGAGAGCACCTCAGACAAAAAGGATGATTAAAAGCAAGTATTCACAAGGAAAGTCATTTACTTGAAGTTGTAAAGGCATTTATTGATAGCATTTTCAGTGTGACTTTTGAGTAATGATGATGTTTAAAATGGAAAGCTTTTTTGAAATAAAAATGATAGATTTTTTTATTAAAAGGCTTTTATTCTTATACGTATATGAAGTAATATACGTATGAAGGGAATATGTATATTCCCTTTCTTTTATGTTGTGCTGTGCTGGTTGGTTTACTGGTGATAAATACGTTTTTATGGATTTCCCAGCTTAATTTGCATATGCAAATGAATGCAACGGTCTCACTTATTTACTGATGAGTGCTAATCAACACTGTAAAAAGTCTTAAAGAGGGTGAACACTTTTTAAACCTACTTCACTCTAAAGAAATGAAGTAATATTGTTATCTCGAATCCTTTCCCGTTCTGGAAATGAGTGACAAGTCTAAGGAACATTGTGGAATTTCATGCCGTTAACTTCACAGATGCATTATTTCTATTTCCAATTCAGTTTCTTGGATCACTGAACTTGCTGGATTGGAAGGGAGGGAGAGCTTCGTTAATTCAGTGAGCCTTCTTAAAACTCATATTCTCTCTCTTGCACCTTTATGGAAGATTTCCTTAATCGCCTGCTAAGGAAATTATACCATTTTGCATGACCTGCAGTTTAGAACCTTGTTTTAAAGACCCAGGCTACGGCCAAAGGCCAAGAGGGAATTGCCTTATTGCAGGTAACCTTAATTACCTGCTGAGAAAATGAATCATTTGCCACAGGGTCTAGTTTGAGTTGCATAGTTCAGAATGTAGGGCTTGCCCACTAAATGAGTCAGATCTGCCTTCTTATATAGTATTAGAGTTGACATATTTTACAATCCAAGTGGGATGGTAAGCGTCCTCACAAATTTTACAGCTTGTCTGAGATGTCTACAGGGAAAACACAAAGGGTTCCAAAATATCGAAAGTTAGGGAATCTGAAAACCTACTTTATTAGTGTAAAGAATTTAACCCCCATGCGGGAATCTGGCCGTGACATCTTTCCTTTAGGTTAGGCAGCAACTTCCTTCAAGTGCCATTTTGATTGGATGTCATGCATCGTACATATGGTTAATATCACCTGTGTTTGAAATTTCGAACGAAGACCCAGTTACTATAATGTACAAAAATAGTTGGCTCACTTCTGAATTGTGTCTTTGAATCCAGTCTCTTTGTTTGGGCTGTGTTTCCAAATATATTGGCGATTTACCCCCGAACTCATTTTTTAATGCCATTATTGAAGTTGGAAAGCCTCACGAGAGGTGGGTGATCATTTCAAGCCGGTTTTACACATGAAGCAGTTGGTGCTCTAAGTGAATGAGTACATTCAGAGCATCGCTTCCTGAAATGTTTTATACTTAAGCACGTATGATCGTTTGCTTTTTCATATGCCTTAAAGCTGTTTAGACAAAGTATTGAATGAGCTGGAAAGCATTGCTTAATTAGAAAAGTATCTGTCCCGAATAGTGTCTGAGTGTGCGATAGAATGCACGTACTACTCAGGTACCACGATTGCTGTTTATCATAGAAAGGCTGCATGTTACTCCTATTAGTTACGAAAAAGTAGCATTATAAATGGAAAGTTTCCTATGAGCCTCCTGAAAACGATCCCACTGTTTTCCCATTTTAAGCTAATATTTTGTGCTCCTTAAGTCCACTTCTGCCAATGTAATATCCCTATTTTATTATGTTACTGAATAAATAAACTTGCTACATAAAATTCTTGGCAATTAAAAAGTTCTGGTTCTGCCATTTTGTCTCAAAGGTAATACACCTTTTTAATATCATGGTTTGAATGTGTTTGCATATTTATGAACGTGATTAATCACTCTTGTTTGCCTTTAAGCTTTATGAAATGTCAGGCATGATCTTACTCTAATGAAAAACTCAAATTTTAGCTAAAGGTGCCATAGTTCCTATTCTTAAAGAAGTTGACTTTGGCCAGTGGCGTGTGTCTAACCACAGTCATGATCATCAGTATCCCTACAGTCTAGGTTCTTCTTGAAGCCATCATAGCAAAGATTGCCTTCAAAGAGCCTTTTCTCCTCTTAGAACTTGAAGTAAGGAATTAAATTTCATTAAATCAGTTAAATGCACTGTGGTTTTCTATAATAGCTTGAAAAAAAAAGTTATTTTTTGAAAGGGGAAATACTAGATCCTAAGACCTAAAAACTACAGGGGCGCCTGGGTGGCTCGGTCGGTTGGTTAAGCATCCAACTCTTGATTTCAGCTCAGGTCACGGTCTCGTGGTTTCATGAGTTTGAGTCACACTTTGGGTTCCTCACTGGCAGTGTGGAGCCTGCTTGGGATTCTCTCTCTCTCTCTCTCTCTCTCTCTCTCTCTCTCTCCTTTTCTCTCTGCCCTCCAGCTTACTCTCTCTCTCCCTCTCCCAAAAATAAATAAACAAATGCAACTGAAAAAAAATTAAAAATCCAAAAAACTCGAAAGGTTTCGATCAGAACAGTTCTGTTGAAGAACAATGATGTGCTGAATGCTTGCAGACCAAATTGCTGGCATTATGCGTATTTCATACCCCTCTGCCACTGCTTCTTGAGTTTCGGAGGGCTGGCCGTGACTGTTAGTAGTGGTACCCATCACGGATATTTCAAAGAGACCGCCTCCCTTTTAGAAGACGCACGGTCTGCGGTCCGCGTGAAGCACAAACAGTAAAGAAATCTGATTCCCAGACTCGGGGACCCTCCCCTTCACGCTACCGCAAATGCAAGATGGGGAATCGGCCCACCGGGCGAGGTGGACAGGTGGGCTCCCTACCCCAAAACCCTTTGTGTGTTTGTTTGTATATACCAATCACCAAAGTGGATAAGAAGCCACCAGTGAGAAACCACTCCGCAGGGAAGCAGACCTACTTACCATCTTTCCCCTCTTCTTCCTGTTCTCCTGAAGAGACTTCAATTTTTGTGGTTGTTGTTATACCAGAGTATTAAATCAGCACTGCTTGTGGTTTGACAGAGGTGAAGGCCCTCGCGAAGTTCTTGCTATGTTGCCAATACACACGTCACAAACCTGAGTAAACAGGGTAATGGCCTGAAGAGCTCATGTCCCTTTTAGCCCTTTCAACGTAGCACTTGTGTCTAGGTCACCCGTCACCTTGTCGGGTGTGTGTGTAAGGGGCTCTAACCAGCTGTGTCCCCGACACTGGGATATCAGCTCGCTAGTTTTTCTAACGTGGACCTTATCGTTTTCTTATCATTCCTCTGAAAGAGTCTCTGTACATTAGAAAAAATAAAAACAAAAAAAGAGAGAGAAGAGAACAAAACAGAAAAATCACGGTTGCTTCCACCACCCCAAATCTGCAATTACGAATGTTTTCACATGTTTTATTTCACTTGTTTTTTCTAAATATTCTTACATTCTCAAGATAAGAGCGTGCATGGTATTCTACACTCTTCTGTTTCACTTGGAATATGACATTTTCCAAGGTCATTCGATTTTCCTGCGAATGTGAATTTTTCGGTGTACCTAATGTTTCTTCAGATAGCACTAAGATGACACGTGTGATCATTCTTCCATACTGAACATGTGAGTTGGGTTTTCGTTTTGGGTTCTGTCTGACTCCAAAGGCCAGGCTTCTTAATTATTTACATATAGCATCACCGTTGCCTGATTTCTAGAATTGATAGAGTAATGTCTGCCATATGTGGGGTCTAGATACCAAATTTTGACTGAGTTCATAAATGAAAGAAAGACAGAGGTGGTTGGGATGGGAAAAGATGGGTGAACTGAGGCCCAGGATAGGCGGGCTGAAAATCCAGAAACCTTCCCATATGAATAATCGAAGGGACTGTCAATCAATGGCAGGGTCAACTTCAGGACGCTACAGCAATCTTTTTCCTTTGTGGGTAGTGAAGGAGCATAAATCCCCTGCTTCTTCTGGGTCCCTCTGCTGTGGGACACAGTACATCTCTGCTCGCAGAATAATGTCCTATGATCATCAAGGTCGAGTGTAGGGAACTGAACACTAACTCGCAACTGTAGTATCTAGGACCTTCATTCGCACTGCTGTGGAGCACCCCCTTTGCTGTTCTCGCCTACACCTTCGGCCTCCTGTAAATTCCCTTGCCGGGCAGAGAGAACAACGACTGTTACAAAGCACAAACCAGTTATCACTTCTCCAGTTAAATTCTTTCTAATGCTCCCCATTGCAGTTTGGATACAATCCCAAATATTCCACATGGCGCACAAGGCCCCACAATGGTCTGGCCCCCCTGGAGGTGTAGACGTCAACCCTTAACCGTCTTCTGTCTCTTTACCTGGTTCGCTTTTCTTCATTCAGATTAAAAAAGAAACAAAGGCTTCATTGAGATCATGATTTACATATATCATACAATTTACCCATTTAAAGTGTACAACTCAGTGCTTTTTTTAGAATGTTCAGAATTGTGCAACTATCACATGTAATTTTTAGAATGTTTGAGTTTATTTACATTTTATTTATTTTTTTAATGTTTATCTTTGAGAGAGAGAGAAAGAGAGACAGAGCATGAGTGGGGGAGGGGCAGAGAGAGAGGGAGACACAGAATCGGAAGCAGACTCCAGGCTCCGAGCTATTGCACAAAGCCTGACGCGGGGCTCAAACTCAAGAAGAGTGAGATCGTGACCTGAGCCAAAGCTAGATCCTTAACCGACTGAGCCATCCAGACACCCTGAGTTTATTTAGATTGTAAATCGAACATCAGGTCATCAAATAGGAATCCCCCACTGCCCATCAAAAAAGCCCACTCCACCTCTACAGGCATTCTGAATCCTGCTGCCCTTGAATTTAAACTTCTGTGACATTGTTTGTTTGCATATTTACTGTCTCTTACTCCTACCACTTAACAGGTGTGCCTTACACAGAGCAAACACTATTTTGTGAATGAACAACAATAACATTAGGTTTCATTCCATGTGCCTCGCATTGTAT